CCAGCCTTCCTTGTAGTCTTGCTGCCCCCCCACCCCCCATCCCCTCCTCTCTTGGACACGGCCCCCAGCTCTTTGCCTTTGCAGAGAACTTCTCTGGGATCTACTGCAGCCTGCTGCCTCTGGGATGCTGGTCGGCTGACAGCCAGAGAGTGGTTTTTGACACAGCTCAGCGCAGCCGGCAGGTAAGGGGCCCCGACTGTACTGAAAGGCAGCCCTTGACCAACCCCCAGGAGCTGCGGGCCTGGGACATCTGGGGGACATGGGGGCTGCCATGGGAGTGTGCCCCTGAACACCACCATACGGGGAGTTGATGGAGGTGGGACAGTGGTTTCTCCCTAGGATTGAGCGGGGACACCACAGTATGCCAGACTCCTTTGGGGTGTGATATCATTGGGTCCTCAGGGTAGCAGGAAGGGGCTCAGAGGCATTCCCTCTCCTGCCCAGGGTCACTCAGCACGTTGTGATGGAACTGGGATTTGAACCCAGGTCCCCAGGCCACACCTACTGTTCTGAGTAGCTGTCGCCGTAGTCACTCATGGATCTGGCCTGGCCCCAGGGTCCCCAGGAAGCTAGAGAGGAGGTGGGGGCAGGACCCGAAGGGCCCTTGGATGTGGTGCCACACGTGGCCTCCCCTCTGCTTCAGGACCTGTTTGCTGTGGACACCCAGAAGGGCACTGTGACCCCTCTGACAGCTGGTGAGCAGGGCCGGGGAGGGGCCAGCCAGGCCGGGGGAGGGGCCGGAGCTCAAGCACACAGGGCTACAGCAGCGCTTGCATCCACTCTGCACCACTGACTGTCCCGCAGCCTCTACTGACAGCTTTGAAGACCCTGCCTCTGTAGGACCCTCAGCCAGCCAACACGCTGCCTCCCTGCCTCTGCCTGCCCCGACTGTGTCCTGGCACTGCTCAGCACAGCCCCCACGTGGCTCCTCAAACCCACACAAGTCTCTCTGGCCAAGATCAGCCAGAGTCATCCTCCTGACTCTTCAGACCTCAGGCAGAGGCACCTCTGCCTCTCCAGGGCCCAGGAGAAGCCCTGGGTTGGCTTCTTCATCTTCCTTTTACCCAGGCCTAATGATCCTGCCCCTAAAATTCTTTTTTTTTTTTTGAGTCCTCCACCTGCCCAGGCTATACCCACCCCTCCACAAAGCTACCAAAGTGTTGTTCCCAAACTGTGTCTCATCATACAGTCCCCGGCTTAGGAATCTTACACCTTGGACCCCACTGCCTAGAATCAGCACCGCACCCCCGCGCCCGGCCTCCTGGGCCCAGCTGCCACCCTGCCGACTAGAGTCATCAAGGGGTGGGTGGATGTACCGTGGGGTCTGGTGTGTCGCAGGATCAGGCAGTCTCAGGGCACAGCCACTGGATGGGCGGGCTGAGAAGGAGGCTGTCCTGGAGCTGTGTGCAGTTGGCTGTCATTGGCCGAGACAGCCCTCTGTGGGCATCCCTCTGCTGTTCATGGAGGAAGGGGCACCTGGCTGTAAAGCCACAAGTCTGGGGGATCTGGCTCTGCAGTGTGGGGGTGGAGAGGGGTGGAAATAGTGGTGGCCTCTGCCTTCTTCAGGAGGGTCAGGTGGAAGCTGGAAGCTGCTCACAATTGACCGGGACCTCATGGTGGCCCAGTTCTCCACACCCAGCCTTCCCCCGTGCCTGGTGAGTGTTGGTGGGCCGCAGACCAGGAGGCAGGGATTCTGTGCAGGCTGAGTTCCCAGGTCAGGGAACTGACCCAAGCCTTGACTGGCTGGTCAGTTAATGAACAGCCAGGATGCAGACTCAGCTCAGTATAGTCCACGAGATCTGGCACCATGGGGAGGAACGCCTGAGCTGAAGTTTGCTTCGTATAGAACAGGGTGCCTGGGAAAGTGCTCAGTCCTCTGGCGTAAAATAGCCTAGAGGCTGAGGAGGGAGGGATACCTCTGTGTGGTTGGGTGAGTGCCTGTGTATATACCAGCTTATGACCAGAGTCTACGCTGTGCCCTCCGGAGGTGGACAGATGGCCCAGTAGAGCGAGGGCCGTCCACGCTCACAGTGGTTGGAAGGCTGGGAGGCAGCCAGGGCACCCGTGACCCACTCTTTTCCCTTGGCAGAAAGTCGGGTTCCTGCCTCCTGCGGGGATGGAGCAGGAGGTGGTGTGGGTGTCCCTGGAGGAGGCTGAGCCCATTCCTGACATCTCCTGGAGCATCCGGGTACTACAGCCACCCTCAGAGCAAGAGAATGCGCAGTATGGTGAGCTGGGCAGGGGCAGAGGGACACCTCCAGGTTCCCCAAGCACACGGCATCAGTGGTCACCTTTCCTGTCTTCCTATCTCACATTTTTGGTGGGGTGGGGGCGGGGTTTGAGATGGTGTCTAAGAGCTGTTCTGCTCCTCTTGTGGACGATCATGGGGAGTAGTGTCCAGGCATCTGAGCACCTGCTCTGGGCATCATTGGGCCATGTCATCTGCAGTGGGATAGCGGAGCCCAAAGAAGCCAGGCCTATGCAAGGCCTCTGTGACCACACCTCCTGCAGAATGCTGTCCCTGCAGAGAACGGGACTCCCTGACCAAGGTAGAAGGAGTATGAATGAGCCCCCTGGGGTCCGTGCATCACAGTGTGGGCTTCCTTGACCCGGCCTCCTGTGTCAAGAGTTCAGCCCCAGACCTGCAGCTACAGCGGAGGCTTCAGCTGGCAGAACCCTGGGCAGTAGCCCTGGGTCTGCTGACTGCTGCTTCTCCCCTACAGTTGGTCTTGACTTTGAAGTGATCCTTATCCAGCCCAGCGACCCTCCAGATAAAACCCAGGTGCCCATGGTGGTCACACCTCACGGTAGGCAACTAGCCTAACAGCCCCTGCCCTCCCTCTCCACCCCTCCTTAGCTGGCTGTTTCACCCTCTGTCTGTTCCATATCTGCAGGGGGACCCCATTCATCGTTTGTCACTTCCTGGATGCTATTCCCAGCCATGCTTTGCAAGATGGGCTTTGCAGTACTACTAGGTGAGGGGGCAGGGCCCTGTAGCTCTGGTGGGGCTGTGGGGTGGTCATGGGGTGGTCCTGGTCGGTGCAAGTGTTGCGGGTACTGCGCGTGTCTCCAGGCCTCTCTGCAGTCCTGAACTGGTAATCACTATCAGAAACTGTCCTGGCCCAGCCTCGGGCTCCATGGACTAACTTGCAACTCCCATGAAAGGGCATGTGGCCACTGGGCCATCTCCGACCTCTTGGCCCCTTCCCCTGGCGTCTGATGCAGCTGGACCCAAGGCCTACTTCACATAGAAGTGAAAGGGTATCCAGGGCTCCAGGAATGTCACTTGACCACCCTGTCTGGTTCCTCCCTGGCTTCCAGTGAACTATCGTGGCTCCACGGGCTTTGGCCAGGACAGCATCCTCTCCCTCCTCGGCAATGTGGGCAGCCAGGATGTGAAGGATGTCCAGGTAGCAGGGACTGGGGCTTCCGGACAGGTTGGGAGGGTAGGACAGCGGGGGTGTGGCTCCATTCAGCCGGGCAGGCCGCTGGCTGCAGCATGATCTGCTCCACCCTGTAGTTTGCAGTCGAGCAGGTGCTCCAGGAGGAACACTTTGATGCGGGCCGAGTGGCCCTGTTTGGTAGTTCCCATGGCGGCTTCCTGTCCTGCCACCTGATTGGTCAGTACCCCGAGACCTACGGCGCCTGCGTGGTGCGGAACCCTGTGATCAACATTGCCTCCCTGTTGAGCTCCACGGACATCCCTGACTGGTGGGTGTGCCCACAGCCCCCCCCCCCGCCCCGCCCTTCTCCCCTCCCCTCCCCTCCATATCCTCATGGAGCTCCCGAGGGCCCCGGCGCTCCTGGGCCTGCGTTAGCGTGGTGTCTTGTAGGTGTGTGGTGGAGGCTGGCCACCTCTACAACAGCGATTGCCTGCCAGACCCCATCTTGTGGTGTGAGATGCTGAACAAGTCACCCATCAAGTACACCCCTCAGGTATGGAGCCCTCCTCGCCTCCCCACCACCAGTCTGTCCAGGGCCCTGGGCCCTGCTCACCACTGCTCCCTGCATACTTAGGTGAAGACACCAGTGTTACTGATGCTTGGCCAGGAGGACCGGCGTGTGCCCTTCAAGCAGGGCACGGAGTATTACCGTGCCCTCAAGGCCCGGAACGTGCCTGTTCGGTGAGTGCATGCAGTAAGACAGCCCTCGCAGCTGGTGGGCTGGTGAGCAGCAAAGGTACCTTGATCCTCACACTGCTGCTCAATCCCCCAGGCTCCTGCTCTATCCCAAAAGCAACCATGCACTCTCAGAGATAGAGGTGGAATCCGACAGCTTCATGAACACTGTGATCTGGATATGTACGCACTTGGGCCACTGAAGCCCTGCCCCTCGGCACGAGCTGGGTGGCATATGCCACACTGGGCTCTTGGAGGGCCCCAGGGTCTGGCAGAGCGGTGAGAGACTTCCTGGGCTCTGGACTTCATGGATGGGTGAGCCGAGGAACGTGGGCTGCATACTCAATAATAAATGAGGAGACAGAGTCTGGTTCCTGCTGGTACTTTGTACCAAGCCACCCCTAACCCCAGCCCCACCCTTGGGGTTCAGAGACTGTAGGCCCCTGGGTATGGTAGTCATCAGGATGACATCTACCTGCAGTGTGAGAGGGAGGGGACAGTGTGAGGGGACAGTGAGAGGCTCAGTTGTCACCTGTCTGGCCAAGTAGTTTTCCACCACGCTAGCTCCCTCAGCTGCAGCCCCTTGTGTTAGAAACTGCCCTATACCACTTTCTTCTCCCTGCCATTGGTTTAGGGGACTAGTGAGGCCCTGCCCTTCTAGCAGGGCCTGTCTAGCACCCACAGGTTAAGGCAGTCCTAGGGCAGATCACCCCGTCTAAGATGTATTGGACTTGAGCCATGCAGGCCCTGCTGAAGAGTTGCCAATTCATTCCCCAAAAGCAGAGGCTAAGAAGCACCCTGCACAGACGTCAAGAGGAAAGGTGGCTTTATGTCAGACAGAAAGCTTCGGCCTTGCCAAGGCACACAGGATTGAGGCTGTGACTAGCCCAGCCTCATGACCTTGTGAATCCAGTCCACAAACACAGAGACACGCATGAAGATGGCTGGCCAGCGGGGCCGTGCGCACACTCGGTTGGGGATTATAATTCCCTGCAGGACCCAGCAGTCATGAGTAAAGCAGGCAAGTGGGCCCCCGTAGTCACCCTGGTAGGTGCAAGAACTGGTGAGGGGGGCCTGGGCCGTGGCAGAGACTAGCCCCTTCGGGGGTGAAGCAGTATATTTTCAGCTGGCCAGGGACCCTGCCACTGACCTCACAGGCTCCCACAGGGGCCAGCAGTCCTGCAGTGCACATCTCACTCTCCCGTACGCGTCCTCGGTGCTTGACATTACATTCTTGGTTGGAGATGACATTCAGAAGGGCCACATTTAGGACCGTGTCGTCCCCTGTACCTACAGTGAAGGGAATGAGAAGGAGGAGAGGGTCTGTGGGTAGGAACCAAGTCGGGGCCTGTTGGCCTGGAGAAGTCCATGCCCCTGCGCTGTTCTCTTACCTTTGGTCTCACCCCAGCCTGCAATCTCACAACTGGTGCCTGGAGGCACCACATACCGCTCAGGGGGCAGGCAGATCAGGGCCACACGCTGGTTCAGGATCACGGGTCTTTAGCGAGAATGAGGGCTTTCAGGGGCTGAGGCCACAAGGCCCAGCCCCACCTCACACCCTCTTGACTTCTCACACACCTCTCTAACTTGAGCAGAACAAGCTGGGAACCAGAGGGCCCACAGACCATCTTGGCCATTGGGATGCGCTGCAGGTCTGGCTCCCCGGGCTGTGGGTCCTGGAACAGGGTGCCCAGCCACACCTCATAGCCCACGAGAGACATATGGCTGAGAGAGAAGCTCTGCTAGATGAGTTGAGACTCGGGGTCTGCTGCCCAGCGCTCACCTGGTGACTTGCCAGGGAAGGTGGCTGAGGGGGGAGATGAAGGCAGGGGATTGGGACTGGGTCCCCAAACCTAAGGGAGGCTCACCAGGAGGAGAAGCACTGCCGGGCAGTCAGAACCCACTGCTCCTTCACTAGAGAGCCTCCGCAGAAGTGCTGGCCCTGCCTGCGGGAAAGCGGGTTAGGAAACGGTCCTTAGACCCAGGCTGGACCTGCCATCTCCAGGTCCCCTCCAGGTGCAGGCAGGTTCCCACCCCGCTACCAGCACAGGCACAGAGGATATAGCTTCAGCCCATCTTGGGGAATCAGGCAGTCGTGCCTCACCGGTTGCGCAAGCTGACTGTCCAGGGTGAGTTCCCAGGCTGGCCCCCAACCACACGCAGCTTGGAGCGCCACGGGTCCACTCGAGTCACTCTCTTGCCACATTTATCAAACAGCACCTGGTCTGGGGGACAGAGTGTGCTGGATGAGACCCCCGACTGGATGGACCTGGGGGGTGCAGAGGGGCCTCAAGGAACACCTGGCCCAGGTCTGTACCTGCAGTCTCCAGGATGGACGACTGTTGGTCATCATCTGAAAGATCCAAATTTGGCATTAAGGGAGCCAGCCTGTGGCAGTGGAGGCTAAGGGCGGGGCCCCGGGGTTGAGTCGCTGGTCCTCACCACAGCGCCGCAGCGCACAGTAGTCGAATGGAGTCCCCGGGTCCATGGTGTAGCACCAGGGCCCGTGACTATCCCCATCTGGGTTCCGGCAGAAGTTCTCCTCCAGGGGCGCGTGTGGGGCAGAAGTATGCTTGAACCTAGGCCGAAGAGGGGAGCAAGATCAAACGGTAACCCCAAGCACTCGCAGTGAGACATGCCTAGGCTTGCCACCCGGGGGGGGGGGGGGGGGGCGGGGCCTGTGGCCTGGGTCTGGGAGATGCCAGGCGTGCTGACAAGCTTACTGCGGCTTGTGCGGCGTCTCAGCCGACCAGTTCTGACACCGAATGCCCTTTCGGGTCTTGCTAACAGAGCCGCGGTACAGTTCCCCCGCGCCATGGTAGCAGTCTGCAGTGGGCGGAAAAGGGCGACCGTCAGCCGGTTCTCGCCCCAGCTCTCTGGCTCCGTGCCTTCAGCCTCAGCTTCGGCCTTACCCTCGGGCCGCACGTCGTCGGTGCAGCGCCGGATCTGGTAACAGAAGGCCATGCGCATGCCAGGCCGCGATGTGAAGCACCAGGGCGCCTCCGATCCGTCGGGGTTTCGACAGAAGTTCTCCCGGAGGTCCCTGTGCAGGCACGCTGCTCAGCCCAGGTGGGTCCCAGCCCGCCAGCAGGAGCCGCAGTCCAGCCTTCAGCTCCCCAGGTCCCGCCTTCCTTCAAGCCCCGCCCAGGACCCCCCTCAGGTCCCAACCCCCAGGAGTACTCAGCCCCCAGCGGCTGCCAGCCAACTCACTTGCACGCATACTTTTCAGGCGCAAAGTGATGCTGATGTGGGAGCTGTGCATCCCAACGCTGGCAGGGCACGCCCGCGGCCGTGGTGTTGACTGTGCCCCGGTAGCCCTCGCCTTTCCCGCGGAAGCAGTTGAGCGTCGTGGCTTCCTGGCTCGGCTGTGCCTCGGACCCTTGGATGGACCGAGGCCGGTCTGAGCCGGAGCCGGAACTGAGACCGGGTCGGGGGCTGGTGCGGAGCCCCAGGGTCTCTGGATCCCGGCCGGGTCACGCCCAGCCCCGCCTCTCGCCCCGAGGCCACGCCCCCACGCTATCCCAGGTGCCCTCCCAGGCCCCGCCCTCACGCTATACCGCAGCGGGGGAGGTCGCAGAACTCTCTCTCCATCTGCGGGTCAGTTGTATAGCACCAGGGCCTCTCCGAGCCGTCCGGATTTCGGCAATAGTTGTCGTCCAGATTTTTGTCCAGAAACCTGGGGGCAGTAAACAAGAGCCTAGTACTCCCCTGTCTGACCCCATCCACTGGGCCTTCTATCGCCCCGCCCCTGGAGACCTCGACCCTCCCCTTGCCCGCCCTCCTCTCGCGCCGAGCCCTCCCCCGCGTACTTGCCCGGCTCGAAGGGGTGTGGATGCGGGTGCTGCAGGTCCCAGCGTTGACATTCGCGTCCTGACTCGGTGCGGTCCACCGAGCCGCGGTAATCCTCACCATTGCACCAAAGGCAAGCGGCTGGAGACACACGGGGCCGATGGGCTCGTGGACGGGCGTGGGCACGCGCCTCCCGCCCCAGGCTTGACCCGGAGCCGCTTACCCTCCCGGCAGGACTTTATGCCGCAGCTTTGGAAGCGCACGGCAGGGTCGGTTGTATAGCACCAGGGACCTCCAGGGTCCCTGTCCGGGTTGCGGCAGAAGTTCTCCTCCAAGCCGTTCCGGAGTGTGGGTGTGAACCTGTGAGAGCAGCAATACAGTGCGTGCTGGGGGCAGGAGCCAGGCCGGCAGAGGAAGAGGGAAGTTGCTGTCTGTCTCACTTGTGGTCATTGGGAAACCTGTGGCTCCAGCGCTGGCAGGGTAAGCCACCCACGGTGATGGCCACAGTTCCCCGGTACTCGACCCCGTTGTCCACGATGCAGGTGCGAACATAGTCTGGGAGCAAAAGACCCGGGATCAACAAGGTCAGAGACCTCAGCAGCCCTCTCTGCAGCGCACCCTTCGCAGCCACTCACTTTTCTTTTGAAAGAGGTCACAGCGCCCAGAACGCTGCAGTCGTGTATGAGGTGAGTGCTGGGTCCATGGCAGCAACTGGCAACCATGGCTGCTTAAGTTGTAGTGGAAGGCCCTGGGAAGAAGAGGCACAGGGTCACCAGTGCCCAGGTTCCTCTCTCTCCAGTCTTATCTAGGTCCAGTGGCCACTCACCTGCAGTCCAGGAGGGGCCCACAGCGGCCTGCACATTCCTCAGCATTTGCCACATCTTCTTGCCAAGTCCTGGGCCCCACTGAGTGTAGCAGGTGTTGCAGCTCCGTACCCCGAAGCACCTGGAAGTCATTCAAGGGCGAGCGCTGCCCTGCAGGGTGGGCATGAGAATCAGCACATGTATATCAGCATGCACACACTTTATTCATTCAGGAGATCAAAATACAAGGCCTCTGGAGTGGACCCTGTGATCCCTTCAAGGGTCAGACCCCTGTAACTGGATGGGAGGGGCAGGCTCAGACGTGACTGTAATCACTAGTGCACCTGTTTAGTGGGCAAGGCACTGGGCTCAGCTGTAAAACATACTCAGCACAATGCATGCTGGTGCTGGCCCTATGGAGCTTATGCCATCTTGTTTCTCACGTGAGGATGTGAAGGCTCAGAGCTATCTTATTAACAAGGCAAAGGCCCAACCCAAGCATTCTGACTCCAAGTCTAAGTTCTAACCAGCATAAGGGTAAATGCTGAAAGTGTTAGTTGCTCAGTCCTGTCCAACTCTTTGTGACCCCATGGACTGTAGCCTGCCAGGCTTCTCTGTCCATGGGATTCTCCTGGCAAGAATACTGGAGTGGGTTGCCATTTCCTTCTCCAGAGGATCTTCCCAACCTGGGTCTCCTGCGTTGCAGACAGATTCTTTACTTTCTGAGTCGCCTAACCAGCATAAGGGTATATGCTAGGTAGGAGGATTAGGTCTGGCTCATAAGGGATAAATGCCCACATATGTGTATGTGACTGTGTGGTCCTAACACTGCCTCAAACCTACAGCAGACATTTCACCGCAGGCCTGAATAGGCAATGTGTTTGTGTTCCTTTGGCTGCCCAGCTCTGTGAAAGAAGCCAAGGTCACTCACTGCTACACGCTCAGTAGGAAAGTAAGTTCCTGGCTCAGATAGCGGGATGGGCCTGGGGCCGACCCCTTTCTGAAGGCAGATGGGGATCACAGCTGAGGCGAAAGGCACTTACCAGGGGCCCCTGAGAACCATATCAGAAGCAGCAGGAGTGGCAGCCACCCCATCCTCCTGGCTGGAGGCTGCACTGTGACCCACCACGGACCCTTCCAGGAAGTTGTGAAACCTGTCCCTACAGGATTGGGTGGCTCTGTCTCCACACCCCCGCTCTAGGCTTTCTGGGATCTGACCTGAGGCCCAGTGGCAGTAACGGCGGTGATACGCCAGGCCTCAATCCCCCTAGGTGAAGTACAGGGGTACTCACTCTGGCATAGTTACCCCCAAGAAGCCTCCCAATATAGTGGGCAGTGTTGGAAAGGTTCACTGAAGACACCTGAGGTGCTGTGGGGTGGGGGTGTGCGGCCCCCACAGTCTAGGCCCCTCTGAAGGGAAGGGCTGTGTGGATATGCTTGCTGCCAGAGGCCAGGATTCCAGCTTGAAAGTGGTGATATTAAATTTTTCTGAGCTTCAGCTTTCCCCTGTAAAGTGGAGAAAATTCCCTGTTGTTTTGATGACTGATGGGCCCCCACTGGAGGCAGGTCTGCCCACGCCCCTGTCAGCAAAGCCCAGGGAAGCTCTCCTCGCCCGGCCAGAGGTGCCATTCCTGGGAAAGGTGAGCGAGGCCACGCGTCTGGCCTGCATGGAGGTGAGGGTGACAGGTGGCAGAGACCCTTGGGAGGAGCAGCCTTTCGGACGTCCTAGCGGACCTGTGGGCCGGATCTCCAAATAAGGGCAGGAGTAGAGAGATAGGCGACCAAGGTCTCTCAGGACACAGCGTTAACGGCACGGCTGGGCCAGGAGCTCCTCCCGCGCAGGTGGGGGACGGTGGCGAAAGAGGTTGGGCAGTGGGGGCGAGGCGGGCCCCGGGAACATCCCTGCTTGGAGGCTGCAGAGGCGGGTGCCACCTAGTGGAGGCCGGGTGCGGGCCGGTGCGCGTGCGCGTGCGCGGCGGCCGCGCGGTTTGGCCCCGGACGGGCGCCGTAGCCGAGAGCTGGGCGGATGTTGTGAGTCGGGACTCCGCGCCGGAGGTTGGGGGGTGAGTGAGGGGCGGCCGGGCTCCGAGATGGGCGGGCTTCCCCGTGGCTCCTCTTGCGTCCCCGGCCCGTCCAATTGTGAGAGTGCTTGTCGCGCGAGGGATCGCAGCCTGTGGTGCCGGACTCCGGGCCGGAGCTGGTCTGGAGGGTCCTCCAGAGCTTGGGGCCGGGACGGAGGCGACTAGCGGTGCCCTCGCGTCCTTGGGGGTGGCTTCGGTTCCGACCCCGGAACCCTCGGCGGGGCTGAACGGGACGACGTGACAGGGAGCCCCTGGGCAAAAGTCAAGTCCCGCCTCCCACCTGGGTCCTCAGCACCTGACACCTGGAGTGGATGTCCGGAAGGTTTGCTCATCAGCTCCGTGACAACGTCTAACCTGTCGTGCACCTGCTCTATGTCAGAGGCCGGTGGCGGGCGGCAGGGCAGGGAGTCGCCTTCTTGAGGGGCAGGCGTGGTGCCAACTGGGAGTGGGCAGAAATGTGTGGCGGGAGCAGAGGAGCTGTTTGGGGTGAGATAAGAGCGAGGAGTTCTGTCTCAGGCATTGCTAGCGGACTGGGCTCTAGACCCGCACCGACTAATAGAACTTTCTGTGATGATGGCAGTGTTCTTTATTTTCGGTGTGTAGTCCAGTAACCATTAACCACATGGGGCCACGGAAATCCTTGAAACGTGACCAGTCGAATTGAGAAATTGACTTTTAAATTTTTTAACTTTTCCCGACCCAGGGATTGAACCCACATCTCCTAGGTCTTCCTGCATTGGCAGGCGGGTTCTTTACCACTAGCACTGCCTGGGAAGCCCTGTGAAACTTGAATTGAAATTTAAAGAGCCACATGTGGTTAACAACTGCTGTGTTGGGCAACACAGCTCTAGATCAGTGAGGCTGGCACCAGCGACTTAGTGCCCCTTCGGAAGCAGCTGTAACAACACCATGGTGTGTGAGGGATGGACAGCAGTGGGAACAGTGTGTTCTGTAATGAGGGCAGAGCTGCTGCTTAAGGGGGTAGGATGTTGTGTGTGTTGGTGGGGACAAGAAAACTGGCGGGTCTTTGGAATAGAGAAGGGAGGAGGATCCTGGAACTGAGGCAAGGGGTCCTGGCCTTGGATGTCAGTAAGACTTGCAGCTGGAGATGACACCAAGGTCTTTGGATGGTGGACTAGGTGTAGGGTTCTCTCTTCCACATGTGGACCCAGCGTGGTTGATAGCCGAGAAGGGTACAGGAGCTCTGTTCCTGCGCCACCTCCGTTTGGACACCTGGGTCTGATTTCCTACTGGATTGAGGCGTTTGTTAATAGTTTGCTTTAACAAACACATGTGGCATCTGCTCCCTGTCGGGGCCTGAGTGAGCACTGGGTCAGGGTGGGGGTACTGTCACGTGGTCCCAGACCCCCACCCACCCTCCCTGTGTAGGAAGCTGGAAACCCCTGCTTGGAGGGCCCCAGGGTCTGGCAGAGTGGTGAGAGACTTCCTGGGTTGGTGCATGCATGAGTGCACCTGCAGTGGCTTCACCTGTTCCTAGGCCTTCCTGACACCCCAGGATTGAGGTCAATATGGGAGCCCTTGGCTTCCTTCAAATAGACAGGCTCTGCCTCTGCTTAAGCCCTCAGGACTACAGGCTGCCCACAAGAGGTGAAAGATGGCATCCAAGGAGGGCGGCATGGCTTTCTCCCGCAAGAGCTATAAACTGACCTCAGATGCTGAGAAATCCAGGGTCACAGGTAAGGGTTGGCAGGGCGGGGAGGAGGCTCCCAGTGTTGAGGGAAGCAGGAAGAAGACACAGAGGCAACCATGTCCCAGGTCCTTTGAGCCCCGGGCCCTCCGCCTCCTTGTACGTGTGAGCCCCCTCTTCTCCACCAACTGCCATGGAGCAGGGCACCCACTGGGTCTGCTCCTCTGACCCCTGTGGCTGGGCTTGGACCAGGAGCCTCTGTGGCCGGTAGGGACTGGGAGCCACACTGACCCTGTGTCCCTTCTCCCCTAACCTGTGGCCCAGGCCTCGTGCATGAGAAGCTGCTGAACGACTACCTGCACCGTGTCTTTTCTTCTCCTGATCACGGCCCTGCGGCAGCCACCAGCAGGTATGGCCGGATGGCTCTCCCCTCCTTCTGCGGGGCCAGACCAGAGGCGGGAGGCTGGGTTGTGGGGAGGGAGGCTGGGCTCTGGGTGGGCTGGCTTGCGTTCCATTCTCGCTCTGCCACTCCTGCCTGTGAGGCTGTGATACCGCCCTGGCAGTGCTGGTACCTCCCTTCTGAGGGTGTAGCGGAGGTCAGGGGCACAGTGCAGGGTTAGTCCTCAGCGTGGCACTTCACACCTACTCTACACTCAGCATCTGGTCCATGTGCACCTGGCTTTACCTCTGCTGCACCCTGGCCCTCCGTAGCCTCTGCTGGATCTATAATATGCAGACCCCATCAGCCCTTTATTCCTTGCATGTTTAGTATTTTTAAGTTGAGCTTATACCCAAGTTATAAGTGTAGTTTAGCAGCAACTTGTAAAAGCAAAAGCGTCTGCCATCTTCTAATATAAAAGATGGCGCGTGATTCCATTTTGTTTTCTTTATCTCATAATGTATGCAGTTTGGGTTTTGCTATATGGGAGATTTGCTTAAAATTTTTGTCACTGTCAGTTTCTTTAAAGTTATTGAGGAATAAGTGGCATACCATAAACTGCGTGTATTTAAAGCACACCATCTAGTAAGTTGTGACACAGATAACCTGAGAAGCCATCACTGCATGGACATACCCCCAAAAGTTTATTGGAGTTTTAAATCCTGTTTTTGTCATCAGGGGTTATTCCTGCATGGTTTTCTGCACTACAAATTGATAGTGGTGGGCATCTTTTAGAGCCAGGAATCTGCCTGAGCGCTGCCCTAGTTTAGGGGGGCTTTGGTTTTTGTAAACAGTGCTGCATGGACACCCAGGGTTGGGATCACATGCCTGGAGTGTTTGAATCTCAGTCACTTGTAGGACTGCTGGTGAATTTCTTCTTCTTCAAAGGGTTCTGAACATTCTTCCTCCCTGCAGTGCGGCATGGGTGTCCCTAAGTCTCAGCCCCCTCGCCAGCCAGCCTTGTTCTGTCTTGAAGTCTCTGCTCACTGGGCAGGCCCAAAGGGTCCCCTCTTCCATTTTAGCAGCCATGGTGGCCAAAGGGTTTCCACTTGTAGAGGGCCGGGGCCCACCTCTACCCCAGCCCCAGTCCTGGCCTGTCCCCAGGGCCACCCGATCCCTCCCTCATGTGACAGCAGAAATGATCCTGCTACCACTGGGGCTGCGGTTGCCAGGAGTGAGAGCAGGTGGCCGAGCCATTAGTCGGTGGTGGTGGGGACACAGAATTCTGGGCCAGGATCTGGGCAGGCCAGAAAGGCCAGGCCAGGGCTGAGGGTGGCCAAATGGGAGGTGCTGCAGGCATTCACTGAGGCCAAGTGTCAGACTGCCTGCCCACAGCTGCTCTTAAAAGCAGGCACAGGACTGGAGCAGCCCTCCCAGCATGGGCCTGTAAGAAGTGCCCTTGAGGAAGCCTGCTTGATCTATGGGCCCACTGGGGGTGTTAAGAGACAGAGGGGCTCCAGCCTTCCACATTACTGGCAAGGCACTCCATTGCACAGCTGCCTCCTGGCCTTGACCTGGGGCTCCACAGCAGTGGGGAGGAGGCTTCATGAGTCTCTCCTCCTTGCAGCTCAAGGTCAGTTGTAGCTCACGGTGTGGGAACATACGACCCCTGGGCCTGGGCTGAAGCTACCTAGCCAGAGAGTCAGTGCGCTGGCCCATCCACGTGCCCTTCCAGGGTCTGACCTCTCAGGCAGTGAGCAGGGTGTGAGCTGGGATTCGACATGGAACAGCAGGTGCCAGCAGTCTGCGGGCTGGATCCGGATGGGCCTCAGACTCTGCTCCTGGAGCCCTGCTAGTTACCACCACCTCATTCCTGGCTATTCTTAGCAGCTGAGCTCAGGATTAGCTGGCCAGCACTAGGCAGAACTCTTTCTCCTCTGGGCATGTGTGCTGGGAGGATGAGGGGGCCACTCAGACACATCCTCCC